GAGTCGCTCTCCGACGGACATGCACAGCTGGAAGACCAGGAGTAGTCGCTCTCGGATGAGTAGACACAGCAGTCGCCAAATCTCATTCTTCTGTACTCGGCGGAGACAAGCGAGATGAGGACTAGTAATAAATGCATGGGACAAGGTTCGATTTTGTATTTATATGTTTTGATTTGATTTGTAAATAATATACGCTTAAACACGCTTATTCATATTGAATATTAATTGGAATAAACAAAGGAACAAATTTTTATGGTAGAAGAGTCGATGAGACATTGATTCATGCTGGTATGCTCAGCATGGAATAACAAAGGAATGAATGTAAACTCACTACAATGTACACATTTATTCAACAGAGCCTGGTGCTTAATGTTTATTTAAAAATTTCTTTGAATTTTTACATCAGTATTATTTGCAAAATACTCTTATACATTAAACTATCCAAAATGAGATTTTTAAATTTATTCTTCCAACATACTTTCATTTTTAGCAATTTTCTTAAAGCTTTATTCCTCCTTCAAAAATTTACCCCAACATGCAACAAAATCAAACCATGCCGCATACAATACAAAACCAAAGTACCAGCCTACAATACAACTCCATTACACACCAACATCACACCAGAAATCCAAATATATTCAGTCAAGCTTCAGAGCTGTATAAAAATGGAGAAAATAAAGAGTTAGAAAAACTATTTGCTAAGTTTTTGAAGAAATCTTTCGATGTAAGCTTCTGGAATCTTTATATTGAGTATGTTAAAAAATTTTCGACTAAAAAAGTCAACTTGGTTGATGTATATGCTTTTGTTTTTAGTCACTTTGAAGGATCTTATGTTTCTTACGAATTTATTCATGAATATATCAATCAAATAGAGCTGAATGACGAGAATAATACACAGACAGATATGATCAGGAAAATTTACCATCGTTCATTTGTACCAATGCATAACCTTGGACTGCTGTGGAGTGAGTATGAAAAGTGGGAGATTAAGGTTGACAAAAGTACAGCAAAGACGTTTATTGATCAAATACATCCCACATTTATGTTAGCATTTAACACTTATCAGAGACTTGTACCATACATTCAATCAAATGCATTTTTTAAAATTTTTGATATCGAATTGGAAAATCCATTGAGCTTACAACAGAAGGAATATGAAACCCGATTGACCTTTTTATTTACCTTCTACCTCAGTAAATATCCAGGTTCAGAACCACTAACATTTCTCTTTTCATTCTACCTAAAAGATATTGCCAAAGATAAATTAGACTTTAAAACAGATAGTACTTTTTTGAAACTTTGGTACTCTTTTCAATACAATAAACTATATTTTGATTTTGAAGACAAACACAACAGTGAGTTAATGTTGATAAATTATCTCAACTGGATTTCTAAAAACGAAGGCATAGAATCATTCAGACGAAGATTTTCTGAAATTAAAAGCAAAGCAGGCCCATACGTCTTCATTTATGTTGCAACTGTCGAATTCTACTTAGGAGGAAGTAGAGAAGGAGCATATCAGACATTTATGGAAGGAATAGAGAAGTATAACGACAATCCTACCCTCAACGAACAATTTTTTCAAATGTTCCTAAAGGCTGGTGATGAGGATAACGTTAGATTGTTATTCAAGAAATTAAAAAAAACCGAAAGAATGTGGGATATGATGATTGAATATGAATTTCTTCATGGAGAGCTTGAAGATTATAAAAATCTTCTTGTACAGAAGCAGAAAGAAAGTGATGTATTACCTGCTGTTCCGCTTACATACTTTAAGATTAAAAGCTCAGGATCTCAAGGTATTTATGAATCTATGATGCATTCGTTTGAATTTTTAGATCTTCAAATATCTACAACTGATTTATTGTCGGATTTTCTTTCTAAAATTCCAGTATTGTCCAAAAATGAGAATATTTTCTTTAATATTGATAATTTTAAAATCGTAGAGCTTTTATTAACATTATCAAGCAAATAAACTTTTAGTCTAACACTAAATATTTAATCCATTTATTTATTTTTAGTTTGAATTAACTGCCAAAGGTTTTTCTATTGTACAATTCAAGAGTCACTGCAGCAAAGAATGCACAGTACGATCTTCCATTTTTAATATAAACACTAACTAACTCACTCCATTCTCTGAGATAGACTGTGTCTTTGAGGAGTAGTTTATTGTCCTGAACCACAATTTCAAAGGTGTCTTCAGCACTAAAGCATAGACTGATTTTAGAACGATGGTATTTTTGTTATATTTTATGCTGTATCCCAGAATGGATTTCAAATAGTACAGCAGGGAGTTGTCGACTTCCAAGTCGTGGACAGGCTGTTGCATGGAAACAGTGCTTGGGGCAGGCTGTTTTTGAACTGGAATTGTGCTGAGAGGTGTTCTAACCTTCTCCAAGGTCCTAAGTCTCTCATTTAGAAAAGTATTTTCATCCTCCAGTTCTTTGATTCGCTTCAACAGTTCATCTTCCATGGGAGTGTCAAAAAAAGATTAGAAAATAGTATTAAATGGATCTGCAAGAGAAACTTATAGAAAAGCACAGTAGTTAATGTTTACATTTAGATTGTATTAAGAGCTAATAAAAAACAACGAATCAGAGGAAAATTACAAGTAATTTAAAAAGCGGATGTAAAAATTGGGTTGAGACCGCTTATCATGAAAAAGATGCTTAACCAGTCAAATAAATGAGCTTTTTTTTACATTTTATCTTTTTAACTAGCTTTCTTTCAATTTTTCCCTTAAAGGGGCGAGGTTAACAAATATAATAATTTAAGCAAGGAGTTGATTGATTAAACTCTTTGCTTAACACTAGTAATTAGTAGTGATAGTTAGTGATGAATCCTCCTTCCAAAAATTTAATAAGGCAAACATGAGAGCAAGAATTAATACAGTAACAAATACAATATTAATTTAATGAAAGGTTTAATTTTACATTAAAATATCCATAAAATTGACACTCAAATTCTATTTAAAGTAAGGAAAGTCTTTTGTTCTTCAATTTTACAATCAATGAAATTTTAACCCATGGACAAGAATGGATTGAGAGATAGCTTTACGGTTGAAATACTCAACAGACTTCAAGACATACCACCCATCCCATTGGATTACATAAGAAGAATTCTCATGCGGGACCATCTACTATACATTCCCTCAAAAGATATTAGAACACAGCTTCTGAATGAATGGTTAACATATTCACATGCCAATATAGTTGTTACAAACAGTATTAATAGTGATATTAGACAAAACACTAGCATAGCTCACTTAAAGACAAATCTTACTGAACAAATGCTCGAGGAAAGTAAACAAACTACTTTCATTATGTCATATAATGAATTTTTAGAACAATCCAGACATTTGAAGAATTTAAGCATTACAAAAGGGAATTATACATTTATTTTTGAAGACGTAAAAGATAGTGAAGAGATAAACCAGACCATTTCAGATCAAATAGTTGTAAATAGCATTCTAAAGTTTTATATTACAGATAGTCCTAGTCTATTTATTTCATACTTAGAAGAGTGCAGCAAGCCTCTCTGCTGTTACGTGAATAATATTTTTGTAATGAAATCAGCCTACAAGTCAATAATGGAAAATGCTAGTTTCTTCTATTTTGATGACAGTGAAAATCAAAGAAATGCTCTGATGAAAGTAATTGTTCAATTTAACAGAACTGACCAAGAATTGGCTCAGTTTTTAATTCAAAGAGACATCTTTCATTATCTACTCTTTGAAGATGAATATGATTTGAATGAAAATGCAAAATATATTTTAAAAGAGGAAAAGGCCATATCTGGAAAAATTCAATGTCTTATAAAAATTCTAGAATTTTCAAAAGGCTCTAATATTTTAATATATTTTGACAGTGACATTGATGAATACATAATTTATGAACTAATTATGCTTATTTCTAAGCCCACGCATAGAGAGGATCATATTAATAAGCATTTAATTAAAAATAGGAGAATGCAGATTTATCAAGCTATCAAGAAAGGTCTTTCAAATAGTTCAAGATTTTACATTTCAGATAGAATTCTAAATCAATCAAAAATTTCCTTAAATATTCACTCAACAAGAGATATTCAAATGAATAGAGAAATATCCTGTAATATCATTTTTTTTGACTTTCGTCTTTTTACTACTCAAGATTTTAAGATATTCATGGTTCCTGAATCTATGAAAATAAGCCTTAAGACTATGATTGTGGATGATTCGAACATCGGAAAAATATATTCTCAGTATCTGAAAAAAGCCCAGAGCAACCACGCCACTCACATTGATAAATCTACAAAATCCTACAAGTTTGAAGTCCTTTCAGAGAGCATTGATTCTATTAAAGATTGCATTAAAGGAAAGGACTTTATCTTGTCAGTTGATAAGGTAGATTCTAAGACATTTATAACAGCCAGATGCTCTATTGGAAAGATAGTTACGTGCTTTAATCTCTTTAATATAATAAAGGAGCCCATTATCATTCCTAGACTATCTACAAGCAAGCAACAATTGATACTTTTTAGTGATAGCATTGAACTTTGCACTATTACTTCTTTAAAGTCTCTATGTAACTCAAAGGTAATTCACAGTAATGGATATTTTGTGCTTTCGGATAAAAGGCTAATCTTCTACAGCTTTTCATCAGAAAGGAACCTTATGCTTGAAATTGAGACAGAGGATGTTGAGGATTTTATTCTACTTTCCTATAAAAGAGGAACAGGTAGGAGTAAAATATTAAAAACTAAAAATTTTAGCACTAAAAATGAAAAAATTCAGGGAGCTTTTGAAAATGATGATGAAGTTGGAACAGTAATAAAGGAATATCTAGCATTAATCGACCAGCAAGAGATTACAAAAGAGTATATAATTGTTTCATTTTGCCTGAGAAATAGACCAAGAGTGTATACAACTGAACATTCAAACGAAATTGCTTCTAACATATTAAATTCTACTGATATTTCTGAAAAGTGTGCATTTTTCTCTACACTTGAGTGGAGAAGACTAGCAATTGATAATTTCAATGATCACGAAGAGCGATTTGATCTAAGAATAGCCATTCCATGTTTCCAAGACTTGCCTGTAGGTTCTATAAATGATTTTCTATTTTCTGTTAAGGAAGTACGACTTGACAGTCTCGAAAATGGTAGTAGAAGTGAACAGTTAAGTATTATTCTAAAGAACTGCTGGAGGAATACTCTTCTCAAAATACTTTTTGAATACCCTGCAAGGATTGTAGCTACAGATCTCGTTAGAATGACATCTACAATATCATTGAAAAATATCCTAGAGAGATTTTATGAATATGACTTTAGCTTCTTCTATCCTATGGCGTGTTTAATATCAAGGAAAGGTAGGTTTCTACTCTCCAAGATTACCAACTCTGACCTTGAGTATATATCCTCTCAATATCTTCCAAAATATTGTGAAAGCTTGGATAGAACGTTGAATACTCGATTTAGGCCGATAAATTTTAGAGTAAACATTGGCACAAAAGATGTAAAGAATAGCATAGTGGGCAATAAGAATAGAGTTATGATAAGAATAGCTATTTTAACACCGCTTAGTGTAATATTTAACTATGAAACCACTTCTGAGTCAAATAGAGTGTTGAACAACTTCGATCCGGACAAATTCTGCAAGGTAGTAATTCGTGAAGAAAATGGAAAAGATAGATTCATGGCTGATCTCGCTAAGAATACGGATGGTGTATATGATTATTTTCGAAGAGTGATGCTTAATGGATTTGTAATCGGGTTAAGAAAGTACTTCTTTCTGGCCATGACTACCTCTCAGTTAAAGATACACGGTTCCTGGTTTATTACTCCCTATGAGCATGACGACATGGTGATAGGTGCAGACTACATTAAATCATGGATCGGAAATTTTCATAAAATCAAGAATATAGGCAAGTATGCGATTAGAATTGGATTGGCTTTAAGTTCCACTACTCCCACGTATCCGTTCAACGATTTTGTTGAAGTGGATGATATTCAAAAAAATTCTTACTGTTTTACAGATGGTATTGGGCTAATAACAAAAAAATGGGCACATAATATCAGTAACATTCTCGGACTGGGTTTTATTCCGAGTGCCTTTCAAATAAGATTTGGAGGGTATAAAGGAGTGATAGCAGTACATCCATGGATGGATGAGCAGAAAAACTTTGAAGAGTGGCTTACTGTGAATTCAAACATTGTTAGAGGCTATGGTAAATACTCTAATATCAACAGCCTATTATACAGTAATACATCATCTAATGATGCAGTTAATAGTTTTCATCAGATAGTCGCCTCGTTTAAGCAGTTAGGTACACCAGATTTAATTGTAAGAAAGAGTATGAATAAGTTTGATTCTTCATATCGTACACTTGAAATCATTGCTGTCTCCAAATCGAGCAGCTTCTATTTAAACAGACAGATCATTCTAATACTCGAAGGGCTTGGCGTTCCAATACAAATATTTATTGATTTACAGGATAAGTACATTCAAAACATGCTTTCAAAGCTGAGTCAAGACTTTACATTATTTATAAAGAAATATGTTAATACTACAATGAACATTTCTACTGACTTACCTTTTTATAGGAAGTTACAGTCACCAATTTTATCCAAAGTATTTGAAGAACTAAACACAAAATCAAAAATATTGATTGGACAGGGAAGGAGTGCAATAGGAGTGTTAGATGAACTAGGTATTCTAGAAGAGGATCAGATATTTTGTATGTTTCAGAAAGATGTAGATGAAAGCATGGAAAATTTAAAAGATTACGGCTCGTATATAGTACCTAACTGCTACTGTATCGTTGCTAAGAATCCAGTAATGCACCCAGGCGATATTAGAGTGGTTAAATGTGTTGATGCACCCAAGCTTCATTATCTAAAGAACGTAATTGTGTTTTCAAAAAAGGGTAGTAGACCAATATTCAATCAATGCTCAGGATCCGATCTCGATGGTGACATCTTCTTAGTTTCCTGGTGTAAAGCATTAATACCAAAGGCGACATTCAAGCCATATAACTATATTAACACATGTGCACTTATAAAAGATAAAGTACTTCTCTCTGATATTGTCAATTTCTATATTCGTCACATGAAGTTCTATCAACTCGGACAAATAGCTCATTCATATCTAGCCATGTCCGATAAATTCTCCATATTTAATGAGAAGTCTCTTAGACTTTCTGATATATTCAATAAGAATATTGATTATGTAAAGACAGGGCATATTACCTCCATTCCTGAGGATTTAATTCCTACGGAATATCCTGATTTTATGGAACGCTCCCCTTCATATTATTCTACTAAAGCAATAGGCCATCTCTATCGTAGATCAACCTTTGATTTGTCAGGTATTAATTTCTGTGAATGTCACAACTGTACAATGAAGGAAATTCAAGAGCAGCCCAGGTGGAAGAGATTTCTTCTTCTTGGAGCAGGCGTTAAAACTCGAGAAACTCCAAGAAACATACCATTTTCAGAAGAGTATCTGTCCATCTACGAGAATTATGTGAGTGATATTCGCATACTCATGGATAAAACTCAGACTAAAACCGAAGAGGATTTGTTCTGTCATAACTTTGAAGATGATTCCAACCTAAAACTTGAACTGAAAGGTGTCATTTCAAAATACACTGAAATTCTAAAGAATAAGGAAGCGTTGAAAATGTCTAAAATTTGTGAGTGTAAAAATTTTAATGGAATTTTGGCACTTTGTGGAGATTCATATAAGCTTAAAAGTATGATGAAAAGAGGAATTATAAAAAATGGAACCAGTAATTTTATTTTTAATTCAAAAATCTACCTTTCATATCATGAAGAGTCATCCTCACTGAAGAGTAGTCTTGCAGAGGATAAACAGATTAGAGAGTTTTATGAAAATAGGCTTGATTGTGAAAGCATTACAATACATTGTGATAGAAGTAATTACGAATCCTTTGTTGAATCTTTGGATTTTAAAAGAAAAGATATATTCAAAGATCTATTTAATTTGATAATTCTTTCAGGATTGTTTAGATTAGATCAGATTGATAACATAATTAATTTATTGACAAATCTAAACAAAGCCATGAAAGATGCTACCATTCAGGAATTGTTGAGAGTGGCAATACCCAATTCGAATAATGTATTATTTAAGATTCTCTGTCTTCTCCCTTTAGATTTTTCACTCATAAAGAAGAGCATGCTTCTTAGAGAGAAGGCACTTTTAAAGTCTAATGAAATGTACAAAATATCAAAGATTTGTAAAAGGTTCTGTTTGATTATTAGTGGAATGCTTGATGAAAATGATGATATTGAGTTTGTTAAAGAAGGTAAAGCAATCATTCCATGCTTGAAAAACAAAGGAGTGTGCTCTGCCGAGTATTACAAAGATACTCTAAGGGATTTTCTAATCAATATTTTATATTCAAATGAAAACCTTAGATTTTTAGAAAAGCTGCCATGCATAAAGAAAGAAACAGAGAGTGGCGGACAAAAAAAGTGGAAGAACAATGAATTATTGGATTACTTAGAAATGTTAACAGATGAAAAGGAGAAGCTAAGAAAGAAATTCAAGGGAAATGTTCCTGATACAATGCCAATACCCTTGGCATTGTATGAAATATGCTTTACTCCAGGAAAATTCTCTTTTACTTTGGTGCCGGAAACATACTTAAATAGCAAATTTTCAATTAAGAATATTGAAAGGCTATTATCATCAAAGAGTCCAGCTGAGGAAATGCTTTTTAATTTTGATAATGTGCACGATGCATTAAATCCTAAAAAGAGGGCAGGATTTCTAAGTTCAATTAAGAAAATGGATGAGAATGGTGTAAAAGAAGTATTGAGCTTTATGTACAAAAAGACTCGATTTGATATTGACATATTGAATGGAAAACTACTTAGAATAACCAAGGATAAAAAAACAATGGGAAAATCATTTATAATCAATGGGCTACAGAAAAATGATTTACAAGTAGAGCTATTCAGAAAGGAAATATTGTACGATGAAACTGTCAATCTCCTTAAAGAAGATGAAATGTTTATGACAGAAAAACTGTTTGTAGTACAGAACGATTCTTATAAATTACTCTTTGATTTACAAAAGTACTCCTGCACCAAAATTAAGCTTGAAAAAAACGTAGTGTCTTCTAATGAAGATGGCTTTGCAATAGTTTACAAAGCAGTGTTTACTGGAAATGATCTTTTGATTTTAAAGACTGATAAGTCATGCTGTTATGTTTCAAAGGAGTTTTGCATTAATACGGTTGAAGAATTAAACTTTGATAAGATTTTTGGAAAACTGTGGATGACGTATGCAACAGTGCTATAGCTTTATGATTAAATGCAGTATAAATGATTCAAAATATGGTTTTAACAAAAGATCATTGTTTTAAGCTATTCAAATTATTGGTTAACATTGAAGTGATTCCTAACTTGACCTTTCCTCATTCTAACGCCCTTACTTGTATTTCCAAATATGAACTTGTATAGTCCTTGAGTATAAACCTTATACTCATCAATCCATCAGAAAAACAGAGCATAACAGTATTAATTAGTTCATAGAAACTAAGTGCATGCCCTATCCACTCATTGGAACAATAAAAATTGAGATACCCTGAAACTAAAAACTCTGCATCAACTTCTAACCGTTCATTCATTTCTACTGTGTATTTCTCTATGTATAGTTTATTATTTTCACAGTGATACGTCACATTTCCACTAATGAAATTTTTAATGCATTCCTTATCAATTATGGCCTTGGTACTATAAATCTCTTTTTGGACATAATGGGATTTAATGGGAGTGACGAAGGGAATCTCTACAAATGAAAAGTATATTCTATTTAGACCTTCAACACTTAAGTCCTTATCAATAGGCGCTATGTTATTGAAATCGTCATTGCATCCTGTAAAGGAGACAATTTTAAATGATGTATCAAGTATAATTAAACTACTGTCAAGTATCTCAATATTCTTCAAAAGCTCATCCACGCGTATTGTAAATTCAATGGGCACGTCAATCTTATATAGACTGTTTTCAAAGGAAAGGTAAATATGGGGAGAGTCAAGTGAAGATATTTTGAAAACATTTTGGTCTATTTCCATTGTTATTTGTGATTTTTGTGAGAAAATCTTGAGTAAAGAAACAAAGTACGGCTTGTTCTCTAATTTTAAGATAGAAGACATAGGGGATATAATTAAACCGAAACTTTGAATGTAATTAAATGCGTGTTGGGATGGAACATACGAGAGAATTTATACATGAAAGGTATTTTATAAAGTATATTGAATGTCTGTTAATGTTATTTACCGATATACTACATGCATAGCTAAAAGTAAGACATTGACATTTTGATTAATTTAAAAATGATCAAATGCAAATAGTCATAGACTGCAAATAAAACAAATGCCCTTGTTGGAGCTGGCCACGTTCAAACCAAAAGAGTTCAGGCAAAGCTCATTGGAAGCTTAGTATTCAAGCATTTATCTAAGAATTTCAACAAGCCGTGCTAAGAATAACACTATTAACTGGCATGATATATTGCAAAAACTTTCTTGTTCAAAATTTAATATTACATAAAATAGTCAGATTCGTTAAAAATGTGCCCTTTGTGAGCATGCAGAACATGATATTTGAGGCCATTATTATTCTTATATGTCTTTCCACAGTTATCAATTGTACAAATATAAGGCCTTTTTTCATTGTTCTTTTCTGCAGTATGACCATGATCCATGTGATATTTTAGCCCGTATGAGCTTGTATATATTTTCCTGCAGTCTTTATAGGGACAAGGAAAATTTCTTCCAGAGGAAAACTTGGAGGAATTGTCCGAAGCTATTAAGTCTCTTTCATATGAATAATATGAGGAGTCATCATCTCTTTTTAGACTAGAATCTAATGATTCATCTCCAAAATCAATCTTTTCGGAAAGACTGATTTTTACAACGGAAAAATCATATACTTCAATGGCTTTGCTATTCACTTTAGTTGAAACGTCGCTTTCTAGTAATTCAAATGGGCCATAACAGACTGAAAATGGCTCCGTTGTTTCTCTTGAAATTTTATCCATGAGACTACTGTACTGCCTCATGGGCTAATACTGGCCTCGTTGGAAATCGTAGAATAGTAAAGTAAGTTGAGAGTAAGCTCAGGCACAGTTGAATATAAGGAATAAAAAGGGATGTATTTAATTTGTGCGTATTGTTGAACTGCCGTTTATATTTTGTTTATAAAAAAGGATTTTGGAAAATTTTGATAGCTGGAAAACAAAGAGTAGACTGATGAGTAGCATAGAGAATAAATAAGTTTAAGCATGCAAAAAAGACAGTGACCAACATTCATACAAATAAGACTAAAACCATGTCAAGTTGTCAAAATAGAAAAGCAGGCCAGGCCTAAGACTACACACTATATTTAGACGAAAGTAAGCCAAGTTGTATTCCAAATAAAACTGGAACAAATGAGCACTACTCATTAAAGGCAGGCACATTGGAAAATGAAAGTTAGAGAACTAATGACACAAAGCAACTCCTATTATGTTTATTATACTTTATTGTTTATACTTAACAAATCCATATGATTTTACTCTTTTACAAAGTTAGGCTGTGCTGATCTGTTATTTTATATTAGAGGAATTGGGACTCAAAAAATGACTGGGTAGGTGCATAAAAACAAATGCATAATGTAAGATCACGCCATATCAAACATGGCCTATGGCCAAGGCAAAAGAAATACGTTGGGAACGCTGACTCGCTTAAATGAGCCTGCACATTGTACGCAAAAGGTGCTTAGTGGGCAGTGCCAATTCTATTTGGGTAACACTACATTGTTCAAGAGTGATATTACATGTAAAGCTGTCTGTTCAAAGGCTATACCAATTTTACCAAAAAGTAATAAAGATTGGTTTGGTTAAACTCCATACATTTTCATAGTTCTACATAAAAATTTTGTTCCTAAAAAGTAAAAGCTAAGATGAGTTTGTTGTGGGGTTTGATATTTGTTCTTTATAGAAAAAGTTCGATGCAAGTTGCCATGCCAAATAAACTCTTTTATTTGATTTTCTTGTTCTTTCATGCTTTGATTTTAAAGCAGCTGTTTCATTTCATAGTAAAAATTTTAAAAGAGAAGGCATAAATAAATGTTTAATCAACAAAACTATTTATTGCACAACGGTAAAGTTGAAGAATACTTTAATAGACAGGTAGGAATTAACAGCTGAGATACTAAAATAAACAATTGATGTATTTATTTTGTATTCAGCGTTTGCTTTGTTGATGTTAAAGCATTGATTTGTAGTTGTTACTCTAACTGTGGTGTTTTGAGCATGGATTCTGGCTTGTACACTATCCACAATACCAAAGAGGCTATTGACATTGAAACAATGTAAAAGTAAAAGTGATAGTTGCCTAAAAACTTAGTAAGAAGGGACACGCCGTAAGTCATTAGAAAGGCCATTAAATAGTTTGTTGATATAGCAAACCAGGACCCAAAATCCAAGGCTGATTCTTCAAATAATTCATCCAGGCAAGTCCAAGGTATTGAGCTTAATCCACTGTTAAATCCAATAAAATAAATAATAACAGACAGCCCATCCAAGACCCTAAATTGAATGAGTAGCATTGATCCAATTACACAGGCGACACTGAACATTAAGGCAGTGCGCTTACCAAGCGTATTCAAAATGTAGCCTGAAAGAAATATTACAGCAGTAGCAATTGAATTAAACTTTACTGATGCATGTTTGTCTGTAAATAAACGATTCGTAAAAATAGTCATGTAGTTTATGCCTGAGAGTTGTTGAGAAATGTGTAAGGACAAGGCTATTAAAAGTGCTTTTAAGGCTTTTTGATTTTCAAAAAGGTTAGTACAGGAATTAAAAAAATGGGTTTGCCCAGCTTTGTTTGGCAAGATAAATATGAGAAGAAAAGTTTGAACAGCCGTAAATAGGATGATATATCTGAGAATTGCATGAGAATCAAACGAGACATTTAAATAATGACCCAGTGCTATCCCCAAACTACAGCCAGCACTGTTTAGGGTTGTTAGGAATGTTTTGGCTTTTTGGGGTGATATATTGGAAATGTATAATGGAACTATGGCATTTACAATGCCAAAGGCCGTGCCAATGATAAATCGGGAGACAGCAAGAATATTAAAATCAAAGCCCAGGAATGGAAGAGAATATCCCAGAACAAAAAGAATGTTTGCAATTACAAGCTTCACTTTATCTGAGCCATGAATAGTTCTTATGAAGAAATTAGAAAACAAAGCACCAAAGTACACTAGAGCAACAGCAAGAGTGAAGAGAGATTCGTTTTTGAGTATGCTTTCAAAGGAGTTAGCCGATGTAAGACTCAAGCCAAAAGATGATGTGGAAAGAGCCAAAACTAGAGCAGTATAGACACTGTGTAATGAAGAGTGACTCATATGGGGAAGGAGATAAAGCAACAAAGTAAACAACACAAGCTAAAACATAAACAAACTACATTATTCAAAGGGTAAATTGCACAACATGGGTTGTATCATTATTAATGGACAAACAATCGACTAAAACCCCTTGTTAAGTTTTATAACAATGGCAGGATTGTAAATAGCACTTCTGTGCTTAGCTAGTAAGAATGCAGACAGTAAACAACACAAATCCATAAATTTTAGGCATTCAATTTATTTTCTCAAGTTGGAATTCAAATTGACTTTCTGAGTCTTTTTGGTATATTCAACAGGCTTGGTCTTATTTTCAGTCTTTGGCGTCTGCGCAACAAGGAGCTTTGGAACAAGAGTGAATCCTCTAACAATTTTGGTAATGTGGACGAAGTCATTTTGTTCTTTAACTGACTTATTAGTCTTCTTGAAGAAGGCTCTTGAAGACTGTGTCCATTTGCAGTCACGAGCAGAAATTTTCAGATCAACAAGGGTGCGCTCCTTTCTTGATCGTGTAAAGGTAATCTTTCCATCATTTCCCACTTTACTTACACCACTTCCCTTTGGGACGACGTATCCGCTAAAAGAGCAGATTCCTTGGTTCATTGAGGGCTGAAAAATTTTTCATTGAGAAAGTGCGCATACAAGCAAGAAATGCGGTGCTAATTGCCAGGAAAGTATAACTGTGGTAAATATCTTACTAGCAAACAGCCCAGGGTCTGTGCTACAAATTGGTTAATGTTTTATACTCTACACAATGAATATGATATGTAATATGCAAAATTCAAAATCTTTGACTTTTAATACACCAGTCACATCTTTCAAAGTTTTACTCAAGCCCAAACGTGTTTCATATTTTATATGAATAATTGCAACAATCTGCGAATATGCTGTTTCTGATTATTTTTAGTGGAATATCACATGCTTTTAAATATTTCGCACCGAGTGTCTACGATTTTGCTGTAGACCCTGAGAATAAAAAATATCAAGAACACTCTGGATTTGTGCATAGGCATTACTACACTGAGGATAAGAATCACTTCGGAGAAATAGCCTTAATGACATTGAACACGCATGTTGAGAGTGATATTGTTGAGAAAAATCAAAAAAATGGCATTTTAGCATTGATTGATCTGCATCATCCAGCTGTATTTGCACTTCAGGGACTTACCCAGTCTGTGCTTTCAGGAGTACAAAAAGAAGCAAGTGAGCACTATGAAGTTGCATGCACAGATGCCCTATTTAAAGAAATAAGGACAAACAAGTTGGAAGTAATGCCTATTTTCTACGATTCAAATTCATTAATAAAGATTAAAGAAAGTATAATTGAACCAGAAAAGTATAAAAACCAGGCCTATGCGTGTGTGGTTGTGTTCTATGATAAGCTCATACAAAAAATATACACAGTCATCAATGTGGATCTTCCAAGTACAGATCCAAAGGTTATTGACTCACAGGTATACAACATTATTCACAACTTGGAAAATTCAAAATTCAAAGATTTCCCCGTGTTTGTAGTAGGAACAATCAATACAATGAGTGAAGAATTAAGAAAGCTAGTTAAAAGGGACATGAAAAACCTTATTGATCAAGACAAAAACAATATTGGGTTGCGCAAGACAACATTCCACAACCACGGCACTGTAAACGATAATCTACAAAGAGATTTTATACTTTTAAAGGATAAAGCCAAAGAATTCAAGCTAAATTATTCAAGGATATTGTCAAGGTATTCAAAGATGAGCTTTGAACATTTCCCAGTCTTTTCAATTTTAAGCCGCAGCTCAATCAATTAAATACTGTATTTATCTAACTATTTTTAATCAGCAGTAAAATCAGATTGTAAATAGATTTACCAGACACCACCAAACTGTAAGCTATTTGATCAGATTTTATCCTAAATAGTAATAGCTTAGTAAAGGAAATGCCCATTCTTAAGACAGGATGGCCGAGTGGTCTAAGGCGCCACATTCAGGTTGTGGTCCTCCTATGAGGGCGCGGGTTCGAATCCCGTTTCTGTCATTTACACTCCAGTGTCTTTTTGGCCCATGCCTGTCATTGTTCTTATTGGAAATGCCGAGAGATTCATACCAGAAATCCAACTATTTTTCAAAGACAAGTTTGATACGAAAATAATGCAGGAGGCATTCAAACACACACGTTCCACCATGGCTGCTTTGGATGAAAATAAACTGTATGTTGTACCGAACTTGACCAAGCCAGAACGCTATGAAATTTTCTGTCTAGCAAGGAAAAATGGACAGCAATTTATAACAATAGCCGATCCAAAAAGTAACGACTCAACGGTAAGTGACAAGAATCTTATTTTAATTGATCAGTTCGATGGTGAAAAAATCTACAAAAAATTGTTAAATTCCAGGATTGTCCCAACAACAGTCAACAAGAGAAGCAAAGGAATAAGTCTTAAAAGTGTTAGCGAATTGAAGGGCTTGATAAACCGAATAAATAGGGAATATGAGCAGTTTGGAAATGCCAATTTGATATTTAAAGAATGTGAGGATAAAATTGTTAAAATGTGGAATTTTAACAATACACAAAGCACAGTTGAGGAGGCGGAAGAGTGTTATAGAAAAATGATCGAGAACGAACTGAGGAAAAACAATATAAAAAAGTAGATTGACTATTTGCAATGATGAAAAACAGAAGAATTCATAAGAAAAGACCTGTCAAGCTATTGATAGATCTTTCAATAACCAACTGATTCTAAAAAGGTTTAATTAAAAGTGTAGTTTTCAGTTAGATTTACTTAGCTATTAGAATGCCATTTTGTCAACAAAGTTAAATTATGCTTAAAATTAGAAATACCCATAATGTAATATTTTCAAACACCTTTGAACCAGTCAAAAGAACCAATTCTAAACCCAGTGTGAAAAGATCACAGATAAGGTCTTAAAGATGAGGTACTACAAAAGAACACCCAAGAAAAGAACAACGGCATTAATTTAAGATTAGCTAGCTCATTAAATGCCTATTTGTTAACTTAATAAAATACAGTCTGCAAATGATCGTTAACATATTTATTTTAGCCTGTGATCACTAATTCTAGCCATAACAGTCTTTAATATGCTGACAATCCATTGATAACATCAAAGTATTTTCCGACCAGCGTCTCTGCATTGGTCTTTGACCTATTTGCAAAGAATCCCAAATGCCCTCCACTCAAAATTAGAAAACTGAGATTTTGGTTATTTTTATACTTTTCAGAGGGAATAACCCATCTGGGGATTATAGGATCATCTGATGCACTCAGAAAAAGCATCGGGACTGATATGTTATCAATAACACTTATACAGCTACTTTTATCATAAAACTCCTCCAATGTATTGAACTTAAATACTGTTTGTAATAGCTCCTTGTCAATGTCTTCCAAATATTTGCAATGGTCCAAATATATTGGTGATTTCATTGATCTGCTGATATATTTTTTGTAATTTTTAGCCATACAAAAATTTAGGAATTTACCATAAAATGTCTGGCAGAAGTGACGTCTTAGAGTGCCAAAATCAAACGGACAGCACACCCCAATGCCCATCTTGATACGATCACTTTCAGGGTGATTGCCTAGATACATTGCAATCCAATTTGCTCCCATGGAAAATCCCACCAATGAAAGGGAGCCACTATAGTTATCAAGAATGTACTCAACTGTCTTTTCTATATCAGACACAAGCCCAATATGGTTGAAAGTGTTGGAAGTTGATGGAAGAAGTGCACCCCTGACGTTAAAACAGAATACTCTGCAGTTCCTCTCAAGAAATTCATTTGCCATTCCTTTAATGTACGTGCTTCTTGACGTTCCATTCAGTCCGTGCACCAACAGTACATTTTCTTCAACACTATTGTATTTGTGACCGGCATGCAGTGGATCAACTTGTTGAATGTGTAAAACATTATTTTGACGGCGGCTATCGTCTCCTGAATCGTTTGAACCAGGAAGTTTCTCATCAGTTACTTTTCTTTCTTCTGAGATATGTCGTACTTTACATTTTGAATTTTTACGAGGAGTGCGGAGGCATTCACTGCCAATGGCATAGCAAATCCTAAAAGAGCTCACAATCACCCATCTTAGTAGAGATAAGGTGATATTTACCACTGAGAAAATGTTTCTGGAAGAGGTCTCGAAGATAATACCGAGGAATATGAATAATGGCCTTGACTTCTTCTTAGAACTATATAATAATGGCTCAAATATTTCCAACAGTATCGTTGAATCATAGTCAACCTCAAGAAGTACCTGCTTCCTCACGGCATATTTCGTTATTTCAACTTTTCTAATAATTTGATATAGCGAGTTGATAGTACCAAATGGAAGCAGAAACATGGGGCAAACTACCCTAGACGCTAGTTTTATGATGCTTTGATGCCTAGAATAGATTATTGGCCGATGCACGATGAATACGACATAGTAGATTGTGTAAATCGAATGTAGAAGCAATAAGAAATACACCCATCCCATTTGGGGTAGGACTAATCCAAAAATTATATTGTCTGACATATATTATAAATAAAGAGGGAAAATAATTGGAATGTTAGTTAGCACGAAACAGTACTTCTATTTGGGATTGTATGAGTATTTGCCAACCCAAGCATTTTTGCTTTAAAATAGGTGGAGGAACAAAAAGCCTGGAAATATTGAAAAGTAGAGCAATGATAATTAGTGGATATGGGGAGATACAAAAACAATGCTCTCCGACCGAGAATTGAACTCGGGTCCCCAGCGTGACAGGCTGATATGTTAACCACTGCACCATCGGAGATAATAAGTAAGAAACAAAGCCTACTAGTATGATTCAATACTTGATTGATCACATCCTGGAAATACATTAGCATCAGTCAATACGGTTGTCTTTTTGTGAAAATCCAATACTATAAGCTTAAATGCATTTTACATTCATGAGACATTTGTATTTTCAATATTGAACACAGTTTAATTATCCTTTAGTCTTTCAAGCTTAACTTTATTGATGATATACTCTTTTGGAATTTCGAGATCAACACAAATAACATCCAGTTCAAGCAAATCAGCACCTAAATTTGGGATTGTCCTGTTAAAATCTCCAGTGACCCACTCTTTAATATAGGCCCCCGAGGAGGCTTTAATGTCGATATCATAATAGTACCCATCTTTCTCAAGCATACTCACTCTTAATACTTCAATCTGTTTATTTCTAACCATATTTGCTCTTCTATGAAGTACTCTTAAGGGTGTTTTCTGTTCAATATTGTAAATTTTTTCAAAATTAAGTTTATTTTCTGAAAATATCAGCAAATTATAAAATTTTTGAGGTGATGTGCAATTTATAAAGTCCTTGCATTCTCTTTTAACGACATAGCAATCCACAATGTCAATTTCTTTGTACAGCTTTACTGAAATTTGGTCCGGATTAAGGTTCCTGGTAGGATTGACAATCTCCAGGACGAATGGTCTACCTTTTAAGCACCTAACATCAATGTCTTCTCTGCCACATCCCATGAATTTCACTGAGGAGGCTCCAAAAAATTTTTGAAAATTTCCACTAAAATCTGATACGTTTTTGCAGGTTTTTTCAACACCATTGATAAACAAGGGTGTCTGGCACATTTCTCTAGACATTTTAACATATTTGCCATAAATATAAAGGGGAGAATTTCGAATTCTAATTCTAGGCTGATTTTCACCAAAGGTAAACTCTTCAACACCAGCAAAATCACCTTTTCTCTTACTGAAGTTTTCTGAAATCGGTGAGTAGTCAATTTCTACAACTGTATGGTTTTCATTGCAATTGCCCTGCTTTAGAAGAGACTTGAGCATTTCTTTTTCTTCTACGTTACTATTCTTGATTTGATATACTGTATTTGAGTACTTTGCCATTTTTGAGTTGAAAAGTGCAGATTCTATGTTGCGTAGGACAATGTCCATGGCTCATTGAAGAATTTTACTAGAACTGCATAAAAGGCGATATAAAATATTATTTGTTTTTATAAAATAACTACAACTTTGCACTACGTGCTAAGGATGAATGCTTAATACCAGTTATAGTTCTAAAAGACCATTTATTTATAAAGAAAGCACTCATGTTCATTCAAATAGAGTAACTCTTGTTGCAAGCTCATTGATATGCCTTTTTATGTCTTCACACACATGAACCGTGTTCCACCCAACGGTATTAGCACCCTCAATATTTTTGAGAGAGTCATCAAAAAAGTAGATGTTCTGGGGGTTAGAAACAGAAAGATAGTTTTCTAAAAACTCATATGCTTGCTTCTGTGGTTTGCATATAAACTCAGTATCCACTATGTCTGTACAAATTACAGCCTCAAATACATCTTCAAGCTGAAGGTAGCTAAGCACATGCTTGGCTCTGTACCGGCATGCGTTTGTAAAGCAAAATTTTCTTATTTTGATTTTTTCCAATAAAGTTTTCAGTTCAATGTCAGGTTTGACAAAGCTATCAAGCTTTGGACGCTCGTACTTCTCAGAAAACTCAAACAAATCCATTTTGAGAGTGCTGTGAAAAATTTCACGGTACAAATTAAAATTAGATAAATGGGCCACCCATGTCTCTTCATCAGAATTTGAAAGTTGAAGATAGCTGTCTTTGATGTGATTTTTTTCATATTCTGCAAGCTCACTACTCTGAAATAAACAATCATCCATATCAAATACAATAGCCATTTCGTTATGTATCGGAACAGGATGCTTCAAGCCCATATTTCGAGTACACATTTCAATATACTTGTCTGACAGATCTGACAGCATCATGGAAAAGAGGGGGCCAAAACCATGAAAAGTTTTTATAGTAAAATAAATAAAACAATCTATCAAACTTGATGGATAACTAAAAAGACAGCAACAAGGAAACTACAAGCAACCCACGCCAAAAGCCAGTATTTTATATTACAAAGCACTGTTTATAAATTATAAATAGCATTTTTATTAAAAATGTGATTTAAAGAGTGATGAAAGTAGTTAATTTAAGACATAACAGCAAATTAATGGAGAACCAGCTTAAACCCAGGAATGCACTCCATGCTTGAGTTTAGCAAATGCGAATATCCATTAAATACTCCTTTCATCCAAAAAACTCTGATTCTAATAATGCTTGATAGTCATCAGTAACAGAGAAGTCTGAAATAACATACGAGTCAGTTGGAACCATCCTTCTTCTGTAAATACACTCATAAATCCAGACCAGCCTAATATTCTTAGCTTTGCACTTTTCTGCTAAGTCCTGGTCTTCCAAAACAAACTGTGGATTTTCTAAATCAACCGTAGCTCCAGAAAATATGATAAGAGGAAAATGTTCAATCTTAGATGCAATTTTAATATTCTTCATAAACACCAACCTAAGAATTTTACTGGCTCTTTTCTTGCACTCAAAATATTTCCTATGAACACTTTTTAAGATTTTCAGCATTTTCAGCAATTCTTTATCGTTGATTGATTCAGCCAACTTGGCTTTCTCTTCGGGTGAATACTCTCTGCTCATTGTCGATAGTATTTTCTGACTCTTCACCGTAGTTGGATGTGGGTGTTCTACTACTGCATTGCTCACATCATCATTTGAAGCCGTTTCTACAAGCAAGTTGCTGTTTAAAGATGGCCCTTCCTCGTTATTGCCATTTACTTCTATATTTGATTCTATCTTTGTGTAGTCGGCTGAATCTTTGATGCTTTGTCTTAGATTTTGATCAGATGAAATATCATCGCTCTTTTTTTTGCTGATTTCAAGGTACAAGGGTTCTCCAGAAGTATCATTAATATTCATCTTGTCTCTATACCAAAAAGGTCGTATCAGAACGAGATTCTTACTGTAATTCCATACATCAGCCCTGTCATCTATAATAACAACATTCCTTGATATGCATGTTATCCTTTCTATTGATTTCTTCAGCTCATTGAAATTTTCATTTCTTGAAACTATTCTATCCCCAAAATATATGCCATTTGGATCTATAGCCTTACATATTTCTGTTACATATTCCCTGGTCCCCATCGTATAAATGTGTATCTCAAACATTTTTGAAATTTTCTCTAAAAACCTGTTTAAATGAGGCCTTAACTTTACATAAAACATTGTTGATGAAATTGAAAATGTAAAATCACAATCGATTTTCCAAAGAGTTGTATGAAGAATTGTTTGGTCAAGATCCAGTATTAAAATCATTTTCTTTTCCTCATTTAGCTGCTTGTTTCTTATTTTCTGTAGTTTGCGAGCTTCTTCTGAAGTTTGAAAAACTCTATCCGTGTGATGTAAAACTGGAACGAGATCTGTGCCTTTTAGTATCTCTGCACCACAAATTGCACAAAGTGAATCAATCCTAAGACTGTGTGTACAATTATTGGCTTCAATCAGCGTTTCGTCATTCAGGCAGTCTTTAATCTTCATTTGGACGTTCCGATTTTGCATCTACGTGATCGAAGGGCACGAGATGAAATTAATAAATAACAACTAATAATCTAAACACATGGAGTATATTTCAAGACTAAGCATCGAAATAGACATGCAAAGCTCTCATAGTGCAAGCACATAAAGCCATACAGATCAAATGTACGAATAACATCTAAATGCTATGTTTAATAGATAATATTTATTGAACTACAACCAATACAGCTAACTATGTTCTAACTCTTCTACGTCTACTGGGTCTTTTGCTAGATTCATCTCCATCAAGCGATTTAGGTGAGTACCTTATAAAAAGTAGTACAAGGCACAATATTAGCAAGAACACTGAATTATATTTAAGGAAGGTCAAAAACGAACTATGACTTTCACCATCACTTTCTATTTGTACATTAGGCTTATCAGCCGATTTCAGATAACTGCAACAATGCTTGAGAAATGCTTCAAAACTCATACTGAAGCTTCTTCTGCTGTTTTTAAATATTCGCAAAAGCTTTTCAGAGAAACTATACATATAGTATACTACGTTCTGTCTCTGCACCTTTCTAGTCACCAATTCATCATTTATCTCATTCAAAAAATCATTTGTTATTGCCCCACTTGAGACAATAATCAATCTCTTCAGTGAAGATGGGTCAACATCCTGGTCTAAAATCATTCGAAAGATCTTTTGAAAATCATAATACAACGAGGCAGCCTTGGAATATCCTTCAAAAACAACTCTTTCTTCAGCCTTCAATTTTTCAACAATCTGTTCAAGAATGGCCTTTTTCTGCATTAATGAATAGGCCTTTTTCCTACCAAAGTCCGAAGTAGTCTTTTCCTCAGGGTTGTATTCCTCTTCAGTTGAGAAATCATCTTCTTTCTCCCGAATAAATTCAATTGCAAATTCCATTTCCCTCCTTACTTCGTTCCTATCAAGACCTTCCAACTCCTTATCATCTGGAGTCGTAAGTATTCCCTTGAAATCAAAAAAACTGCCCACGTAGCTTGCACCACGCTTAATCGGCTCTGTAACATAGCCACCAAATGTGGCCACTGCACCTTTTGGAGTGTCTCCAGCCTTCAACAAATCACTTTGTTGAGTTTTGAAGACTTTAACAATATCCGCTTGACTGGGTATCCAGTATTGAATACCCAAATCACTGGTTCTAGAAAGGACTGTATCATTGTTTACCGCATCCAGAAAACTATCAACACATTTAGTTGCTGACTCATCTCCTTTAACAACTCTTGAAACCATACTATTAAACTGGTCCTGATCGATGAAATCAAATAATGAAAAAATGAATACTTTTGAAATATAGTTTAGAATTGTCTCCACAAAATCCTCCCTGTCTTGAGGCTGATCATTTGATAATATTAACTCAAATCCAATTGAGGCAACATCGATTCTATCGTGTATAAGTTCAAGATACAACTGTACTTTAAATTTATCAATAGCGCTAGTGAAAGTCACGGATTGAAGTATCTTTTTGCTAATACCTCTAAATTTCCTCAAAAACCTATCAGTTTCGTTAATAAAGTGGGAGCTTAGTGTGGATTGTTCTTTCTTGTTATCCTTTGTGACTGTTACATCTGCCGTTTTGTTAAAATCAATTACTAACTTCATCAAACCATCAAAGTAATCAGGGGCCTTTTCTGATGAAAAAGTACTAGTTTTATGATATGCTGGGTAGTAAATACCCTCAATTCTCATAAGAAGATTCTCAGTAGATAGATGGTCCGTTTTGGGGTCAATCTCTACGCGACTCTTTTGAGAAATTTTATAAAAAACTCTATGAAAATAACTGAGGCACTTGAAAGTATGTAGAAAGCTGTCTTTTTTCTTTATCTTCTCACTTTTAGCCAAAGCTCCAAAATATTTTTCAGCATCTCGTCTGTAAAATCTATATAAAAGCATGTCAATCGCCTCACAGCTGTCGTGTTTATTAGTTACCATAGCCTGTCTTAGTTTTGGCTTATTCAAAAGACAATTATACTTGAAAATTTTTCTAAACTGGCGTCCTATGTTGTCATTAGCATCCAGCTTCTTGAGTTTTAACTTCAAGCTTGCGAGTGTATTTTCATAACTCTGTTCCTGTTTGGATGTAGGATTCTCCTCCACCGGGGATAGAATATATTTTGAAACTTCATTGTAATATGCTTGCAATAGTTTTCTTTTTTGATTCACTGAGAGATATCTAGAGGAGGACATTGTGGACAGCTCTTGTGCCAGTGTAGGACTAAGCATCAATGCTAATGCATTCCAACAAAATAAGATTTGTCGAATATTCATGAAGAGAGCTAGGGGGTAAAAACTCTTCTGAAGTAAAAAGGAGAACAATTTTGAAGTTGGAAGGAAGCAATAGACAGTATTTCAAGAAGGCTGTTTAACTGTAAAGACAGCAAGATGTGTTTATGATACCTAAATTCTTTCAAACAATACTAACATAAAAATTGGGCAGCAATGCAAAGTAGCAGTAAAATCGAGACTAAAAAATTTAATGATAGTAATTATATCGAGGTGGTTCCCGACGACGAGCATTAATTTTTCGAGTCGATGGCCTTCCTTTGATACGGTTGAATACAATCAGAACAGTGTCTGTCATAATCAAAATCCAAATAGCAATCATTGCCATTTTCTTTTGGACTTCCAATGCTGCAAGCTCACTCAAAATTTGGTATTCTTTTTCTGTTTGTGCTGATCTGTTGAATTTTTCAAAAATTATGTCCAGCACTGGTCTGAATCCTGTTGTTTCAAATGAAATCTTTCTGAAATTTGGATCATTTTGACTTACAGCAACGTTGTACAATTCAAATAGCCTATCAGTCCTTTCCCTTAGTTTGAATTTAGAATAGCTTGCTTCTTTAAATGCCCTTTTTATCTGTTCAACTGCCACACTAAGCTGCTTTTCATCTTTGATTGCTGACTTGCACGATGACAAGTTCTTTTCTGTTACAAATAATACAAGTTCCAACATTCTGTCCAGCCGTGCTTCAGGATTCTCGAAAAATTCGGGAAACTTCTGCCTAACAGCAACGTCCAAGTCTTTCTCTTTCTTCTTTGTAGCAATGTTTTTAATTTTTATGTCTATTTCATTATTCTTGTATTCACTCGAAATAGCATCAATGTCTGATTCCAGGGGACTAAGAATAGTGGTGCATGATCTTAAGTGGTCTCTCACGTGTTCTTCCTGCTTGTCACCTCTACTAAAAAATCTGGCAAACGGCCAGGCACGGCCACTGAAGAATGACTGGTTAGTCTCAGAAAGAGGAAGATCGAAGAGTTCTGCAAATTCACCTGTTTTTATGAATTTATCGTCAAGAGAATAAAGAGTGATGTTTGAAGATATAAATGCCATATCATCGATAAATGTTCGGGCATTTTCGCGTGTAATGCTCCTTTTCTGTACAGCTAACAGCATTAAATCAGTACAAATTTTGAATAGTGAATTGATTGACCTGATAATAGAAAGCGTTCTAAAGACATGTCTAAAATGTATTTCCATGGTTGCAAATCGTACATCTATCAAGTTTATAAGAATCATCACATTTATGTTGAACGACTTAAGGACCGAATGCATCTCCTGTTTAAGAAAATTGAATCTTTGAATCTTTGAATCAGTTAATGAATGAAGCTCTGTTGGATCAATCCAATTCTTCATAACACTATGCGAAATATAGTTTAATTTCAAAAGACTAAGATATGCATTTCTAATGAGCTCTAAAATATCAGGATAGCTACTGTTAGGTGCAAATGCTCGGATGCTATTAAGGTAGTCAAGATGCATTACAAAAAGCGAACAGATCTCTGAAAATGGAAGGACTTCATCTGTTTCAGTTGACTTTTCTTCCTTTAGAAATGTCAAGAGTGTATCAAAGCTGTTCAAAGCACTATGAAGCTCTTTGGAATGGCCATCATCTCTAATTTCTGACTTACCACCTAGCCTAAAAAACTGCTTAAGAGCCTGAAATGCTGTTACAGACTCGTGCTCATTTGCAAAGCGCACTCCTTTTTTACGAAGCTCTTCAATAAAGAAGGAAAATGCCTTATGGCCATGACGGAAATGTGCAAAAAGTTCAAAAGGCTCATCTGGATGAAAACAGGAACTTATGTGTGGAGCCACCCGATTTTTAAGATATCCACGAAGATTTTCCGTCTTCAAATCGTTAATATCGATGCTGAATAATTTTTTAAGTTTAGAATTAACAATACTCAGATATTGATCATAAACAATAAAAGGCAATTCAAAGTCTTGTGAAATGCCATTTTTTGCAAGAACTGTGTGATATCTCCCTGCATCTGCTCTTATTGCATTAATCATGGATTTAAGCCTTGAATATTCATCTAAGAATGCACGGGTTTCAGAATCATCATCCTGTGGACTATCATGTGTTTCGTTCCTTGCTCTTCTAGCATTCCTTTTTTTGCTCTTATTTCCCCTATTTCTTCTTCCCATTCTAGGCTGTCTGATGCTTGATCCGAACTACCTAGCAAGTCGTCTAAACTTGGATATAATCTACCCTGATCCCCATTATCATCATCAGTAATCGGCAGTTTCTCGGTAGATTCGCCCTCCTCTTCTGGATAAAACATTCCTGGTTCATTACGATTGACATCTCCAGCTCCTTGTTGGAAATAGGGAGACGGATACTGTGGCGTTGACTGTCCATAAAATCCAAACTGTGGATTTGGCGGCTGTTCGCTCAAATTTACATATCCAGTCTCTTGTCCAAGGCTTGAATAAGGAGGTGGTGGATATTGCGGTACATTATAATTGGTAAATCCGTACTGGCTAGGATGCTGGTATGCTTCATTTTGATAACCATAAAAAGGAGAATATGCTGGTGGTTGGTCATCATATGGTGGCGCAGTTGGAGTTATAATAGGAGTATTATTTGACGTGTGCTCCGTGCACTTTGCTAGAGAAAAAAAATATACTAAAATATGCATGCTTTTCATTGCTTTTTGGGGCAAAAAATTTTTATTTTTATAAATCTTTTAAAGGAGTTGCAATCAAAACCCAGGCCATTGTGCTTGATTCACATTGTCTAACGACCTTCTTTTCACTGTTTAAGCAAACAGATTTGCAATTTATACCAAATACAGTTAAGTAGCAGAAATCAAAAAGTTAGTAGCTAGTATGAAATTACTAGAAAAACAAAAAGTATATTTGGCTGAACAGAGCAACTTAATTTTTCATACAAACCAATTGCTTAACCGTTTCATTCCAGCGTATTTTACAACCAAAATTTTTAAATAAAAATATTTAAACAAAAAATAATTCAAAAACTCAAAATACTACAATTTCAAAACCAAAGTAAACTAGAACAAGCATACTATTTTTAATTAACAAGAAATCCGAATTGGAACGAAAGAGACTCTACTCTATTCCTTTCTTCCTCGCTTAGCACGGGCGTTTCTAATTTCAAATATGATCTTAGAAAGTATAAAATTACCCCATGCTTGACTATCAAGTCTCTACATTCACAGAGTATTTGCGTGTGGTACTCTTTGGATCTGTCAATAATCTTCACTGCTTCCATCAGTATTTTTGTCTCCATGTTAATAACACCATCATCCACACCGTTTAGTACTTCAAATGACAGTTTAAAGCCTTTCACAATTTCCTGAATTTCAGCGTCCTTTTTCTCTCCAATTCTCTTCTTGAGCTGTTTCATATTCCTACTCTCCCTCGATCCCAGGCATGAAGATATGGTTTTGACGTCTTTGGCTTGATCCCTCAAAAACTCAAACCCGTGTCTTTCGGAACTAATCAAATGCCTTTCTGTCTTCTTTAAGAGAATGTCTTGTGCTTTCTTCGTCTCTCTTTCATTAAATATACTCAAGAAAACGTTAAATATTTCCACACACTCATCCACACTGGCTGTTGAAACAAAAAAGTTAAATAAATCAGTTTTTAAATCAGACAATGACTCTCGGAACTCTCTTATGCTACTAGCTGTTGTGTTTATAGATTTTGTAAAGTCTGCAATCTGCCTAAGTACGATTCTACAATATTTTGGATCAGTTTTACAAAGCAAGCTGTAAAACATTTTGAAGAAATGATGTATTGCTTCCTCCACCTGTTCTTCTTTGAGATATTCCAGGACCTTAATTATAGACTTGAAGAGGTATTTATAATATTCATCGGACACTCTCATTCTGGAGTATGTTGATTCTTTAAAGTTAACTAGGATGGTGTTCATAATTTTCAACCTTTTTTGATCAAAAGTGTAGTCATTTTGGTATGACGCTGCTGTAAGGTAAATGTCAGTGAGATTACACATCTCTTCAAATGGAGTTTCTTCTCCAACAATCTTTTCATATACTGCCGTTAAGAAATCTATTATTTCTGGTTTAATTGCGTCTAGTTTTTTGGAATTTTCAACCAATTTCCTGTACTTTCCAAGGGTTTCCATGAAAATGGAGAAATTTAATATATTTGATCTTAGCATTTCCTTGAGATTCATCATTGCTGCATCCTCGCTCACTTCAATAGTAACAGACTCCTCATCGATTTCGTCCAGGTTGATATTATGCTTTTTTAGTAAGCTTTCAAACTTTGACACTATGAATGATATTGAACTGCTAGAGTTTGATGAGGCGATATTATTCTTGGAATAATCATCGCAAATCTGCTCCATCGTGCCTTTGCAGCTGATAAATTTGGCAAAGTTCTTAGGAATAAGATAGTTGAGTCTTGCTTTTGTTTCTGAAATACTCTTAGAAAAGGCAATGAGTACATCTTGTAATTCAAGAATTGAAAAGTCCATGTATGAAGAATTAATAAAATCTTCTGGGTCTGGAAATTTGTAGTCCTGGCTATTCTTTATGCATGCTTCATCGGGTATTGCACTATTGCTCTTGAGATCATATCTAGTAGTGTCCATTGCCAACAATGGGGAAGAAGAAATCGATCCAATAATTATAAAAGCCACCTTAGCAACAAACGTCTTTTTAGGTTGTATGATACAAGTTAATTTATAAAATAATCCAACTGTTATTTATTGGCTGACTGAATTATATTGGATTGATTTAAAAGGAGACAAATGCTGAGAGCAATACACTGTATTATAGGTCTTTTTGCCGGTCTCACTTTGGAAACGGCGCCGCCTGGCAGAAATGCAGATGTGCCAAAAATGGGGGTAGTTGGAATGTTTAGTGATGAAAAATTAAAATTTTCAGTGTGCAAAAAATACATTGAAAACATCAACTATCTTTCAGAAATTGTTGATTCTTTTGAGGCGAACAAAGCAAACAAGACAATTTCTGATGCATTAGCATTTTTAATTAAAGTAACTGAGGATAACATACAAGAATATTACATAGATTCAAAAGAAGAGGAACTGAGAGAGTTGAATGGATTTGGAAATATATACAGGAAGTTTACAACGATGTCAGAGCCCAAAAACATTCCCAAGTCCTCCGCACACTTTTATGAAAAAGGCAAGGCGAATTCTCAAAAAGAAAAGTTTGTTCATTCATTAGATATATTCATGAAAGACATACTCAAATATCACAGCAGTGGCAATAACAAAAATTTTGAATGCTTTCTTAGAAAAGTTTGTCTCAGGTTTCTTGGTGAGCTAAGTGCTAGGTTCAAAACAACTGTTGATTTTTCTCTTTACATTAAAAATTTTAAGAGCATTAAAAAAATGATTACCACAGTATCAACATGCTTGGAACATTTAGTGGATTTACTAAACCGCAACGCAATTCATTCTAATACAGCAAGATCAAGTTTCAGTGCACTTGTAAAGGCCTCAAAGGATATTGATGCCTATTTTGAAGAGCTAATCCAAAATGAGAATGGAAAAGCTGAGTTTTCATATGGACTGACCGTATCATACTTCGCTCTTAGTTCGTGGATTGATATGCTGGCTTTGCTGTCCCAAAGTACTATTGATGCCAAATGCGAGAAGGTAATAGACTATAAAGATTTCATGTTGTTGATTTTTAATACAGTTATTTTCAACACTGTTGAAAACGCTGATATTAAACAATACCTTTCATGTAGGGATGTTTTAGATAACCTTATAAATGGAACTATAAAGTATTACATACTCAATAAGCTCTGGGCAGTGGTAGTAAGAGAACCAAAAAAGACAGTCCGCGTAGATGCAAAGAAACTCGGAGGAGAATTGCATGAGCAACCATTCGAAGTGACTGAAGAAGAAAATAAGCCTAATGTTGAAAATGTTGTAAGGTTCGATGAAAATCAAATCAAGTTTATTACAAAATATACTCAATGTCTTAAAGAGATATTGCAGGACACCAAGGGAATCCACAATCTGCCAATTTTTGGATTTGTTAGGAGGGTTGACATATCAAAAATTAATTTAATATTTAAAAAAAACGTAACTACAGATGAAGATACTTCACCCATCAAAACCCTACAAATTATAGCAGTGATAGAAGTAATAATCAATCTTATTCTGATCATTACGTTTATAGTCCTTTGAACAGGAACAAATAATGGACAGGAAAATCGACTGGCTAAAAAGAAACACGAATAGATGCCTATCAAGTATGTTTAAACACACTGGCCATTGCTAAAATTCCAAAATTTGATATTATTTCCATATTTTCTAGTTAAACTCTACTTAATACTGGAAAACAGTTTCAATACAAATATCATTTTCTACTGCCATGGTAATATTGAACCATTATTCTGACTCTGAGGCACACTCCTCTTTCTCCACTCCAAAATCATCAGGGTTAATCCCTAGCTGTTTCAAATCAAATGACTGGAACACCGTTCTTGGCACAATGGAAAACTCTTTTTCTAAAATACAAATGCAGTTTTCAATACAATCAATATATCTTTTTGTAATTAACCCTATGTCTTTGTATTTTATTTTGAACTGTTTTATCATATTCAACTTTCTATAAGTGTCCTTGGCAGTAAAGAGCGGATCTTTAAACTGATCACTGTACCTTCTTTTGACACCAGCATTCTTTTCACTACTCTGCTGTCTTGGGCCATAAAATATTTTACCATCGACTTTTATTTCATAGTAGTCTTTGATGTTTTCGTTTTCTGGTATTTTAGTAAAAAACATGGATCTGAAATTTTAAATATTTTTAGTACTTGGCGGAATGCCAAAGAGATTATTTTAAATCATTCTACAAATAAAAAGGCTCTGCTAGTATAACCTAAAAAACAGACAACAGTACTGAATGGCTTTAGTAATATAAAATATTTGAGTTTTTATTCAAAAGACATACTCAATAGTGTTATTCTTTGTCTCAGCCATGCCCTTATCAACCAATTTTTTCAGAGAATCAGTTACAAACTCCTCATTGACTTCTAATCTCGACAATCCCTTAATTTCTTTAATTAATTTGCCTACATCTATTCTTTTTACTTTTTTTAACACCTTTACACCAAGTGCTTGAATGTAACTGTCAACACAGACGTCTAATATCATCCTTTCTTCTTGATTTCCGATGCAAGAAATATCACATTCTTGAATGTCCTCACAGCTCAGGTAATAGAATCCACGTGCAAACTTTAATATGCTGTGCTCCATCAGTGAATGAATCACTGTTTTTAATATTTGATCAGAAATTCCTGTCATCTTTGCAATATTAGCAATGTTTTCAGGCCCTTTGTAGAGACGATCAATAACTATGTACTGGTAAATATTCATTCTTATAAGTATCCCATTGATGCTCAGCACTATCCTTGAGTATTGATGTGCAATCTGAACAGTCTTTTCTTGTGAATCCTCACCCTTCAGCCTATATTTCATTTCAACTGAATCAATACATTGATGATTTTGAGAACTGAAAGACAAGGGTAGCTTCCCATTTGAATTTAAAATAGTAAGATTTGGCACTTCGGCCTTGAGTTCTCTCAAAAGATCGACAGGAAGAATCAGCGACGAATTTTCCGGTTCAATATTCCAGTATATGGAGTTAAGAAGCTTAAATTTGGACCTACACTCTTCAATCTCCTCGAGCATTTTATAAAGCCTATCATCTTGTGATATTTCCATGCTATTTAATATCGAATACTCTTTTCTTAGATTGCTTTCGCCTGATATTATTCTCTCTTTCAATGCGTTTTGATACATGTTCATAAATTCAGACCTGTCGCTGATTAGCTCCATGGACGTACAAAATATCTTTGTATTTTCATCGGGCTCAAATGGCTTTAGATTGGAAATCAAGTCTTCTTTATCACCAACCACCATCTGTTGAGTAAACTCACACAATCTTTTCATAAAGCAGGGCTTTGTTCGCTGAAGATATTGTCTAAATAGCGAATAAAGAATGTACTGGCAATCAGCATTACAAAAAATATCAAGCGTTTCTAGCATTAAATGCACTTGCTTGACAGATGATTCCAGCACATTCATATTTGATTTTAACATTGATTCAATATATAAGGCATATGCTTTCTTGATAAGAGCAAATCCGGCATCTAAGATTCCCAGCGACTCCATGATATTTATGAATACTGGATTATAGGATTTGTATTTGGCGATCTCGAATGTATTTTCTCTTTTCTTGTTGATAATCCCCTGAAGCTGAACGAAAGTCTTATTAGTTCTGAAAATATTTTCAATATAAATCTTTGTGATGTCAATCTTTTCGTCATTTAAATGCTCATATCCATCAGAAACGGACAGTATATTTTGGTTATCACAGACAAAGGCGCCTGAAATGTTTTCAGAATCATCAGCTCTGTCGGATATGGGTTTGTGGCCAGGCTCAAATGAGACGGTAAAGTCAGACCTGCTATCATCTTCAATTTGATTCAGACTTCTGTAATCATCTCTGTTATATTTTAAATTATTAGACAAAACTGAATTTTGGCTATTTTCCTCCGTATTAAGGAAATTGTTTATAAAGCTGTTGTAGTTTTCAAGATTATTTATGTGGAAGAAATTTTTGAGGTTAACCAACAATTCATAATACTTAACAGACAGAAGACATTCCTCTAGCACCTGCTTAACACGATCGTAGCTACAAGAGAGCATGTATCTTTTCATATACTCAGTTTCTCTACTTACTATTATTTTTGTAACATCACAGAACTCTAATAAACTAGAAAAGCCTATGGTTTTATACTTTGATCTGATCTGTTGCAGTGCAACTTTTTCATATTTTTCCCTATAGTATAATAATTTCTGATTAGTATCGGGTGTAATTTTTTCAAAGCTATTCAAAATTTTCATTATATCGCCCGGATACTGAAAAACATCGATGAAAAACGTGTCATTAAAGGACTGTATGACCATTCTTTCCCACAACAAATATCCAAACTCATTCAATTTCTTCTCCTTTACACAGTCATTTAAAAATGTTCCTAACGAATGGATACTCTCAACCAATTTTTGATACTCTTCAAATCTAATGATATACTCACCAATGTAGTCCTTCGATTCAATAATTTGGTCTCTGTGAATTTTGCATCTGTTTAGTAGAAAATCCCCAATTTTCCAATATAGCTTGTTCTCAAAAGATGAACCAGAAGTGCAAATGATGTAGATTGTGTTGTAAACTAATGTAGCATCACAGGTATTTGTTACAGAAAGATTATAAAACTCCTGGTAAAGCACACCCCAAAGATTTGAGAACTCTGACTCACTTAGCATTCTTCTTCCTATTTCCATATTGTTTATTTCACCATTTAAATATAAACACAAACCAAATAATCTGAAACACTTACTTTATTATTAAATAAGGTAAACAGTTAAAATGCTACACTGAACATCAAAACAAATGGTTAAATACACGCAATATTGCTTCAAATAAACAAAGAAATAAAACGCCGACGTTCATTAATAAAGTTTAGCCATGACAGACAGTTGGCAGTATTGACTTAATTTTTATTTTCTCCGTATTGATTTTTAATTTGACAGTTATCATTATATTTCAAAACATCATCAAGTGTCAAGTATCCAAGGTCTCTTAGTCTTTTTACTTTTGCATTAAGCTTCGAGAGATCAAATGGAGGATCCTCAACCATATTTGTCATCAAAAACACAAATGCCTTGGCCTCTTTTTTATTTTGAAATTCGTAATTAAACAAAAAAGAGAGATCAATCCATATTTCTTTGCAGTATAGATATTTACAAATATCTAAAATTACAAAAAGCGGAATGCTTGTAAAGTTGAAAAGCAAGTCTTCTACATGATAAACATTCTTCTTCCTGCATTTTAAAATTGAATACTTTGCACCTCCTGCAATTTCTCTGATAGTAGAGACGATGGGATGGTCCGGAAGGAGCTTTGAAATTCCTTCAATATTTATAGCATCATATTTCTTAAACAGAGTTGATCTTTTGTAATTCTTGTTAATATAGTCTACAATTTCTTGATGATGTGTTGGGTTAATTTTATTTTCATGTATGAATCTTGAAGCAACCTCGTGGACATTTTCGTTATCGTTGAATGAGAGTACGTATTTCTTGTCTCCTAGTTCTACATCAAACGAGTGATCATAGCTTCCTTGTGCATCTCCAACCAACACCCATCGAGATCCCAATTCCTTGTAGATTTTACTATTTTCTACTTTGTATTTAACGCCTTCCGAAACAAAGACACCCTCATTTGTGTGACTGGAATTTGTTTTTTGTAGCTGGTTAGATTGATTGTCCGTGTCTGTACTATCCTCTTCAACAATTTCATCTTCATTGACAGTTAAGAAATACATTGTTCCATCACTGCCTGCAATAGATATTCTATTCTTGACAACTCTGATACTCCAGCATGTTGGGCATGGCAATTTCTTGCTGAATAATACCTGAAGGGTTTTATCAACTGCAAATACTCTGCCGTTATCTCCACAGATCAGCATAATGTCTTGATATAGGCAAATGTCAAAGCACATCTCATCTAGGTTGCGGCTTTTTAATATTTCACCCTGCATAGTAATTTTTAACAGTTTTCCGTAGTTATCTATACTGTAAATAATACTATCACTGAAACAAAGACTTCTAACCACATTTGCATGGCAATGCATTTCCTTAAATAGCACATTGTCTTTAAATATTCTTATAGCATTGTCGGCACATCCTGTCGCAAATGTATTTTTGTTAATGAAAATAGCCTTCCAAACTGTTTGTGGATGTTGAAAAACTTGTTTAATATAGAAGTTTCCACCTAGGCAAACATCTGACTTATCGTTTTCTGTTGGAATCAATAAGACTGCCAAATGATCCCATGAGCCACACAAAATAAAGTTTTCATAGCAATCTATCGTACATATATTTTTATCATGCAAATTTACATACTCCACAGCATTTCTTTCATCCAGCAGCCCTAGTCTTCCATCTGCCAAGCCAAACAGAACTTTATTGTTGAATGACTTCATCGAGTTTACAGGACAACTAGTTTGTATTTCGATGCCAGTTTGCATATTTTTAATAGTTTTAGAAGAACCACCTACCCATACACCATCATCAGATATACATTTTAAGTCACGATTGAAGATCTTTACCTTTTCTATAACATCTAACATGAGGGTAGTCAAATGCAAAACTACAACACAAAAAATATATTTGAACTTAGCCAATTTCCCCATAATTTTACATTTAGCGAGCATCTTTATATAACATGCTTATTCACGGCAGTTTGCCCACTATTTCATTCACTCTTCTTGAAAGCTCCTTGACCCATGAACTTAAAGTATCGAGATCCAGAAACACTCTCTTCAGAAGAAGAGGTGCACCAAAATATTGACACGAGAAGCTATAGAAAGTTCATAAAAGAAACACGGCTTCAAAGATTAAATGAACTTAAAACCAAAAAACATCTAAGCCAAGAAGAAACCAAAGAGCTTCAAGAACTGGAATATAAGTTCTTACCCGTTGACAGAGAGGTATCAGAAGAATCATTTAGGACATCCAAGGATGATACAGAGGCTGATTATACAGACGATTTAATATGGATATTGCATAATAACACCGTAAGGGATTTCATTGACTATATGGATAAGAAAATAATCAGTCTTGAGGCTTTTGAAGAGTTGGTATATTTAAATATTAGTGAAATGATCAAGATTGGAAACGATGAAATGGGCTTTGAATTTTGTAAGATTGGGTTGATGGCACGGTGGGCAAGAGAATTTGGGAGGTGCTATCTTCTCAAGTTTGAGGATGATGAAGAAAGGTTTAACGAAATTGTTGAAGAACATTACAAAACTTCAAAAAGTGTAATTTTGAACATGCGAAATGATGACGTATAAGATGAATAAATAGGAATATACTTATCTGGTTTAAAATTGTAGACAAAAGTGTTAGTGTTTGTGCTCTAATAGCTTTATACCCAAGAAACAGATACTATTAAAGTTTAGTTAAATTATAGTTAAATATCAATATTTTTATTAAATAAACTCCTCAAGTGGCACCTTCCAGACCTCGAAGAGGCCGTCACACGACACACTTGCAATTTCCATAGGCTCTGCTGGATTCCAATCCAAATCATCAACAAGATCAGTGTGCCCACCATGCACAAATAACATCTCTGGACTAGTCTCACCCTCAATCACATCAGTCTTATTCAAATCCCATATAATTACTCGGCGGTCTTTTGAACATGAAGCGAGCAAGCTTTCATAATGTGGTGACCACTTGCAGTTTATTAACGAATCATTATGGCCTCTTAGTACGAACAGGGGTGTCTGCAAAGACCTAACATCCCAGACCTTCAAAATGGAATCTGATGATCCAGTTACAAGCAACTCACTCTTAAAAGGTGAAAATGCACAACACTCAATAGATTTTAAGTGTGCTTTTTCCAAGACAACTGCACTTTCAATATTTCGAGTATCGTTAATTGCAACCCTTAAATCGTCCGAAACTGAACAAAAGGTGTGGGGCTCAAATCTTGAAAATGAAATATCATTGACTATTCCTTCGTGAATCTTTTTAGATGAAATCAGACCGCCATTAATATCAAATACATTCACCAGAAAATCTCTCCCACCTGAAGCTAGCTGTCCAAATTTCAAGTAATTCCAGTCAATGGCAAATCCGCCATCCAGGTGTCCTTTTAATTCCAGGTCAGGACCTTTATTAGAATTAAATGAACAGTGTTTTGTATAATCGTAGATCAATATACTTTCTGCCTCTGTTCTACATGCAATGATATTAGAAGCTAATGGACAATATCTACATTTATTTGCATCAACAGGCAATGGAATGGACTGAGTGATTTTGAACTCTATGTCTGCATTGTTTAAGCTGTCTTCATCAACCATGTCTGGAAATGTTATTTGGCTAAAAAGGAGGTTTTCCTTATCCTCACCATTTGAAAATGTCGTCATCAACAACCTTTGAACAGATTTTATATTGTCCACTCTTTGCACGTCAGGAAACCATTGAATGAACGGCGATGAATATTTTAGTGTGCTTGTGTAGACAAGATCATATAAATATGGAACATTCTTCCTCCATATTTTGTATTCCTCTTCAATCACTTGTTTTTCTATTTCGCTTTTCATGAGGGACAACGAAATTTACAGAATATGCTGTAAAAGCTGAAATGCAAACAAAAAGACATTACAATTTACTAAGCACACCATACTGAATGTACAAACAACTTTATTCAACTGTGCACTTTTATATTGCTATTCACGTCCAGCATTTAATAAATTTATATAAAAGCAAAAAGATTTGTAAAAAATTAAAAATATTTTTGTTTTATTGATTTAACTGAAAAAAGAAGCAAAGTTTCCAACATCAAACCCATACCCATATCCTTCAGGCGACTCTTCCCTTCGGTGATGTCTCCTTTCAGATTTCTGTGGATTTGGAAGGTTTCCCAGCGCAGCATTGGTGCTGAAATAGTTACCATGCGGCTTATGCAGCATAGGCTTGAGATATTCGCTAAGCTTGGCACGATCAAGAGCTGGGTTTATGAGAACATGTGGCTTAATGTAAATATTGCCGCGAATACCTCTACTTCCAAGGAATCCTTCATTTGACAAAATAATTGCAACATTATCAAAATCTTTGAACGGCTTTACATTAACTGCCAATTTTCTACCATCAGGATGATCGTAGTACAGCACACCACCAGTCAGAGCCGTTAATATGTCAACATCAGCTGTGGTAATATAATCGTCGCCAAGTCTGAAGTTATTAGAATCTTCATTTATCTGAACAGTAAAAACAACGTCACCTTGAACATATCCTGGATATTCGTTTCCCTGCTTTGAAAATGATATTGTTTCGCCCGCTTCCACACCTGGTTTAATATTAACCTCGAGAATTTTTGAATCATCAACAACCTTGCTGCCTTTACACTCAGAGCACATGGGACCCTTGATCATAGTTCCTTTGCCTTCACAATCTGGGCATTCAATTTGCTGAGAGCCTGTGATTATTCCAAGATTAAACTTGGCAAAGACCACTCCTTTTCCTTGGCATTTTGAACAGTTTGTAACATCTTTTCCACCCTTACCGTTGCACATCTTGCATATTTTAGTTGTCTTCACTCTAAACTTGCATTTTTTACCAAGAAATACATCTTTAATGTCCAATTTTATATCGTGCTCAACACTCTTAACCTTATTTGCTTTTGCAGAACGCTGTCTTCCACCTGCCATATGTGAGAATAGATCTTCAAATCCATCAAACCCACTAAATCCACTGAAACCACTAAATCCACCGCCTGGAAATTCAGAAAACTCCCCCATGCCTGAGTCATAGTCCTTTTTCTTCTTTTCGTCACTCAACACAGTAAAGGCCGAATTGACTGTTGCAATTAATTCATCTAATTCTGCCTCTTTCGCAGTCTTCTGCTCAGAAGTCATTGCATTATATTCTGGTGAATCTCTCATCTTTCTTCTAACAGGGCCAGACGGATGTAGTTCCATCTGCTTCTTTTTGTATGCTTTTTTGACTTCGTCAATGCTTGCGCCAGGCTGTAATTCCAATACTTTGTAGAACCCTTTGCTGTCGTTGCTCATTGTCTCTTTAAGACTAAAAAAATATATTCTCAAAAAATTTCTAGAAATTTCTAGAAATTTTTAGGAAGAATTAGCAAAATCACTGATTTGTCTTTTAAAGAGTGCACATTCAAATGAATCAAAATTTGCAAGTTGAGAATGTGCGATCACTCGAAAACTCAAGCTATCCAGTGTCTATCATGCTGTCATAAATATCGGAATATGCCAGATACACCATTCACGTTTTAATTTGGAAAATTAAATAAACCACCAGCCCGTAAATAAGACTCATCTGTGAAATTCCGATAATTTAAAGTATGAATATGCAAGATAAGAATAGCAAACTAGCCAAAGAAAATAACGATTTAAAGATGATAATCTCACAGAAGATGCAAATGCAAGAGGAAATAATGAAAAAATCAATAAAAGCGGAATACAATCAAATTCTTTCATATAAACAGATGTTAAAAACATTAGATGAGAGCATTACATCCATTGAAAACGCACTTAATCAGTGTAAAACCATACGACAGACCATACTAAACAACAAAAGGTTGTTATCTGATTCCACCAATATCATTAGACAAGCAAACGGTGAATCCAAGACGGACATTTCAGGCTGTACTGTATATCACAAAGAAAATTCCATGGATGGAAATAATGTTGTTGAAAATAGAAAAGTACTCAAAAGGAATAAAACGAGGAATGATTTCATCTCTGAATCGGACTTAAAGACAATGAATGAGACAAATGCACATAATCCAACAAAATCAAAAGATATAGAAAAAGAACTGTTTAATAAATGGGGTAAATAAACGCGTACACTTCTATTTTGAAATTACACTATGATCAGACTTAATATTGAATGCATGGTAGTTTAAATAGAAGAATGTGAGCTTGTGGAATATTCCAATAAATAATATC